TATAAAAAGGCATTTTTTGACTTTTTATTATATAAACAAACGTTTAACCTTTCCTTTTTGGCTTTATGGTATTTTCATTTTAAAAATGAAAAAAGAAAAAAAATAAAATAAATAATTAATGTCGAAAATGTGTGTTTTTTTTTTTTAATAGAAATTTTAATTTGCCACTGCCCACTCTCCCCTCCCCTCCCATCGCCATTTTTTTTTTTTACATTTTTAACCGCCATTTTCGCCGCAGAGAATTCACAGTTCAAAAAACAAAAAGAAAAAATTAAGAAATGGTAAAAAAAAAAAAAAAAAAAAATGTCACGCGACATACAATCGACCATCATCGGATCAACAATTCTTTTGTCATAAAAAAAAAAAAAAAAAGAAAAGTTTGCAGACGAAAACTTTTTAAACATTTATAATAATAATAATTATTATTATTATTATTTTAATATCGAATGGATTTGTACGATGTAGTACGTTTGGAAAAAAAAAAAGGAAATCAAAGGTTGTAATGTAAAAAAAAAAAAAAAAAAAAAAATGAAAAGAAAAACTTTTGTGGTCGGGTCAAATTTCACGGTTGCGTACGGCAGGAATTGGTTCCGGTTGACGACAAACGTCAGCAACCAACGTTCAGATCAACGCACCTTATGAAATTGATTGATTAAAAAAAACAGAAAATAATTTTTTTCAATGACGTTAATAAATAATAATTTTTAACGTCCTCCCTCCTCCTTTTAATGAATTAAAAAAAAGGAAAAAAAAGGTTGCGTACGTACGTTGCGAGACACTGTACTGTCACTCACTCACTCACGTGACGGATAAACAAAATCGTGACGACGAAATTTAAATTTCATGTGTTATCGAATCTAAACGGGAAAAAAAATAATTGTGGAAAATGGCGGAAAATTTTTGTAAAAAAATAATCAGGGATGCCATCCTAAAAAAAAAGAAAAAAAATTGGGAGAGAGAGAGAGAGAGAGATAGAAAATAAAATTTTTCCGATTAATTTTCCTTGTTTTCGTAATTCTATGACAAAGGATTGTGTCGCTGTTGCGCTCGTTAGCCTTCATCTCGAAACCACAAAATGGCGGCGCGCGGTGGAATCGAAACCTCCTTTTTGACCCTCGCCGTTCCCTCCTACAAAACCAACCCCCCCTTCTCCTCCTCCCCACCCCTACCCCCGACTTTTCCCTACTCGTCGTTTCAACTTTTTTTTCTTTCTTTTCTTTTTATTTTCTTTCCTCCTTACAAAGAGAAGTTAGACAACCCGCCTGGAAACTATGCAATTATTAAAGTTATCTCTCTCTCTCTTTTTCTCAGAAATCTCAGAATATTCTAGAATGAATCGTTAAAATAAATTTTCTCTCACGTGATCAATCGTTTATCACTCTCCGAAATAATAATAATAATAATAACGTAAAATCTTACAGATGTAATTACAGAGCGTTATTACATAAACAAAAATAATAAAATCCTCGTATTCTTATTGTTATAAAATATACAAATAAATAAATAACAATTATCTCTCTCTCCCCTCTTCTTCTTTCTCTCCCTTCTCTTTTTCTCTCTCTCTCTCTCTCTCTCCCTCTTTTAAAAAAAAAATTTAATAAGGATTACAATAATAAACGATAAACTCTCACCAGGAAGGAAAGAAGGAAGGAAGGTAAAAGAGAGAGAGAGAGAGAGAGAGAGAGAGAGAGAGAGAGAGAGAGAGAGAGAGAGAGAGATGATAAATAAATAAATAAGTTAACCAAAAAATAAATAAATAAATAAGATAAATATAAACTCTCGAATAAAGTGAGTTCATAATAGGGGGTACTCGAAAAGAACCATAGAAAAAATAAAAATACCCGAAAAAAAAAAAAAAAAAAAATCCGCATAAAAGAAAATAACCGAGGGATGATGATGATGATGATGATGATGATGATGTTGGAATGGAGAGTCAATAGAAATTCAAAATAACTATTGTTAATAAAAGTTACCTCTCTCTCTCTCTCTCTTTTTGTACGACAAACACATACAATAGATTCGTGTTATTTTGTATACATATATATATTCTTATACTCGATTATGTTTTACCCATTAAAATATTATTAAATGATTAACCTTAGCCTATGTTAAGTCGAGAGGAAATGAATCTTTTTAAAAAAAAAAAAATTATTATTTTTAGGTAGTTTAAATTGTTTAAACCTTTTAAATGAAAAAAAAAAAACATCTGGCACGAATTTTTATATACCTCTCTCTCTCTCTCCTCATTGTCACCTTTCGTCCGACACTTTGCAATACTACTAATAAATAAAAAAAATCAGTGCCGTAGCCATTTTTTACCCCAAAAACTATCAAACTTTTCCCTGAGAGAGTAAGAGATTTACGAAACAACAACAACAACATTATCCTCTCATCTTTTCTCAAATGACCTCCCCCCGTGTAATTTTTCATATCATTAATGCTTTTTCCCCCCTATCCCCTCCACTCTCCTCCCCCCCTATTATTTGTTGCAAAAATATTAGTCGTTTGCAAATCGCTTTTACTATCAGTCACGGTTATTAATTCTTAAACGCGAAAAACCTTATTAAAAAAAAACGAAAGTAATTAACGAGTAAATTTTATTAATAAAAAAAAACAACAACAACAACAACCGAGTTATTAATAATAAACATAATTACGAATTTTTTTTTATCATTATCATTATTATTATTATTACTTTTTTGTTGTTGTTGTTGTTGTATCCTCGATAAAATCTCGCTTTATTATTATTATTATAAACTTCGCGTTTTGTAATTTAAAAAAAAAATTAAGATTCATAAAATTGCATAAATAAATAAATAATTAAAAAATTAAAATTAATAAATAATTATATTGTAATTTGCGGTTTTTTTATTGTAAAATAATAATAATAATAATAATAATAATTGCGAGATTTTTTTTTTTATACGTATAACGCAATCGATCGCCATCGTTTTTTTTTCTACTTCCACGATTTTTTTTTTTTTTTGTAAATTTTCAAACGAAAGGAAAAACAACAACCAAAAATAATTTTCTTTACGATTTTTTAAACGACAGAAAATGACGTCATTTTTTTCCTTTCTTCTTCCACGACGTTTTTATTAAAAAAAACGTTTTTTATTAAAAAAATTAAAAGGTATAAAGGCATACCGCGAACGAATTTAAATTTAACGTTTTTTTTTGTTCGATAGGAAATGACGTCAGTAAAATATCATCGTTCGTTTCGTTTTTTTTCGCGATTTTTTTTTTTTTTTTTTTTTATTTTTCCGACGGACGCGACGTTTTCCGACCGACATTACACAAAAAATTGGAATGAGTAATGCATCGGTACAATTATTTTATTATAAATGACGGATAATATTAATAAAAAAAAAAAAAAAGGGTTGGGAAAAATGAAAATGTTTCGGGGAATGGACCTACGCGACCAAAGAGAGCAAGAGAGAGGGGGGGATAAAAGGGGAGGTGCAGATGCGGGAGGGATGGGGGGGGCGTAAACCGAAATAATAAAAAAAATCGGAAGGAAGAATGATGGTTTTGATATGATATTAATGTTAACTCGGATTTTTCGAAAAAAAAAAAAAAAAAAAAACGAATTGAATTATTGCGACATTTCGAATGGAAAAAGCGGACATTGCACAAAACAACAACAATGAAAATGAGTATATAATTCTTTCTAGAAAAATAATAATAATAATAATAACAACAATTTTTTTTTTTTATCGTTATCATTATTATTATTATTATTGATTAATCGAAAGCTAGCTTTTGTTATTTTTTCGGCAACATCGCACGAACGTTTTTACCGTTCTTTTTTTTTAGACACCCACCCCCCCCCACGTTGACCGAATCATCATCATCATCATCCCTTTAGATGTGTGACGTTTCACGTGACCACCCGTACCTTCTTCCTCCCCCCGTCCCTTCCCCCCGTTTCAAAAAGAAAAGCGATATAAAAATCCCGTAATAAAAACGCAAAATTTATTTTAAACTACCTAAACTTGTAAGATGATGACACGATACGAACGTAAATTTTTTTTTTTTTCTTTTTCTTTTTCTTCTGCCACTTTTAAAAATAAATTTAAAATTAACCGTTTTTTTTTTTTTTTTTAAAAATAAATGTCAATGCGAATCGTTCATTAGAAACCGATTTGACGGATGCTAGCTAAGTTAAAATGTATGTACGAGGGGTTGACAACAATTGACCGTGTTACTCTAGCTAAGGGTGAAGAATGGTTGACATTGTTGGGGAATGATTTTATTCTCAATAATAAACTCTCTCTCTCTCTCTCTAGTAAGAATAATAATAATAATAATAATAATAAAACAGTTAGAAAAATAATAATAATGATGATGATCGCGACAACGACTACGAACTTATACATTTCGAATTTTCCTCCCACCATTATGTAATAACTATTATTATTATTATTATTATTATTATTATTATTATTATTATTATTATTATTATTATTATTGTAAACGATACAAATACATGATAAATAACTTTGGAAAAAAAAAAAAATAGAATTTTTTATGTACATAAATTTTAGTTTAACATTTTTATTACTATGATGAAAAGAAAAAGAGAAAAATATACGTTATTTGATGAATTTAATAAATTTTGTCTGTTGCAAGAGAGAGAGAGAGAAGGGAAAACGAAGAGAGAGATAGAGAGAAAAAAAATGGAAAATTTTTCTTTTTTTTTTTTTGCTGGATATAAAATGGCAGAAACGAAACAATAATTTTAATAAAGAAACGCATTAAATAAAAGCGATCACATTTGTTAATGGCACTTGGAAAAAGTTTTTAAACTAATTTCTCCCAAAAGAGCTTTTCTAAGATTTTCTTTAAGAGAGAGAGAGACAGGAAGGAAGAGGGAGGGAGGGGGAAGGGGACAGATAGGTAAAATAGTGATTTTTTTTTTCTTTCCTTGTTCTCGAACCCCCCCCCTCCCCGAAAATTTTGTCTTTGTATTGGCATGAGATTTGGTTTGTTGGAATGAGATGTCGGAGGGTTTCGATATGAAAAAAAAAAAAAAATTGTGTGCGTGGGTGGGTGTGCGCGAGCGAGAGTTTTTTTTTTTTTTTTTTTTTTCATTGTTGTCTTCTTGTTTTTTTTTTTAGGATCGTTAGGAATAAAGCTGCTGAAAAAGCGAAACACGTTCACCATCAGCAACAAAGCTCTCAACAATCTAATAATAATAATAACAGCTTACCTCACGGCGGGGCGAGCGTTTCAGTCATAACGCATGCCCCCTCGGTCGGTGTCCCCCATCATACGTCGGCGCACCATGCGGCGGCGGCAGCGGCGGCGGCAGAACGGGGGACAACGGCGTATAGTATTAGTGGCATTTTAGGAATACCTCATCCCGATCCAAATGGAAACATACCCAAAAGAAAAAGGGAAGAAATTCATCCGAGTAAGTATTTTTTCTTTTCTTTTCTTTTCTTTTTTTTCTCTCTCTCTCCCCCTCCCTCTTTCTTTCTCTTCCCGGCAAAATAACGATTCGAATCATCTGTAAAGAATAAAAATTATTAAAATATAATGCATACGTCACAAAATCATACTCACGCTCTCATTGGTTAATTTTTGTCAATTTCTATATGATTTACGTCACCGATAAGATAAACATGATTTTTTTTTTTTACATACTATTCAATTATAACGAAACGGTCGTTTTTCGAATTAAATTTTTTTTTTTTTTTTTAATTAAAAATGGCGGAAGTTTTTGGCAAATGAAAAAAAAAAAAAAAAACGATATATATTCTACCCTTGTGGTGGCAGCGGCGACGACGACGACGATTTAAACGAGGAGGCGTCGGATATAAAAGCAAAGACAAATGAAAATGTAATTTAATGTGGCCGCAGTGCAAATGAAATTTTCGAATATACACGCTATCTACGTATATACACGCTTCCATCTTTTCCCTCCCCCCCCCTCTTTCTCTCTCTCTTTCACTCATTTATTTTCTTTCTCTTTTTTTTTTTTAATTTTACCGTTAAGGCCGCCTTTTTTTTTTTAAATAATTAATTTTAAAAATTATTTTTCCTACGTTTACGTCACTTGACTTCCGTCTACTACTGCCACGTCTCTTCCCCATAAAATTTTCCTTAAACTTTATATCGTATTTCTTTATGTATCATTGAGGGAAAACAAACGATAGAAACGACAACGACAACAACAAAGACAATGAATAAAAAAGAAAAAGACACAATTAAAAAATGAGGCAAATTGAAAGAGTAAATCATATCCATTACGAGATTTAGGGTTGTGAAAATCATCATCATCATCATCATCATCCACCTACCCTTATAAAAAAAAAAATATATACTTGATGGAGTTTTAAAATCCCAAGTGATCATCTCACAATTCGATCATCATTCCATAATAGACAACAAAACACAAGTAATCCAATTTGACTTTTACTTCATCCCCTTCCTAACACACCCCCATCCACACACGTACGCATTAAGCAGACGCTTTTCCCTTTTCTATAAATCTCATCCCTCACTTTAATACCAACCTACCAACACCTACCTAATGTACCTAAAGAAACTTTCATACGAAACAAATCTTATGATGATAACAACCCTTAACGAAAGAAAAAGGAAAATTTTCTCATTTTTATCGTCGGTCGTATTTGTGTGAAATTAATAATAATAATAATGATGATTCCATTATCATTGCCATACTGGAGAGATTATGATTAAGCCATTTCCTCCGACAATAAAAAAGAAGAAAACAACAACCCCAATTGTCATATTCCATAAAAGGCTTCTGTTTTCTATCGGGTTACGATTAACTCGATTAAATCGCTTCGATTCGCTGCAACTATTCATTCACAATCATTCATTCATTCACTTCACACCCTATTTCGTATTTAGGACCACCAGTTCAATTATTATTATTATTATTCATCCCCGAATAATTTTTTTGAAAAAAAAAAAAAAATTTTTTTTTTTTTTATTATTAATTTTCCAATCGAATTATTTTATACTTTCGATAAAGGCAAATGTTCTTCTTCTTCTTCTTCCTATCGTACTCCCGTAAGTAGTATCCATATAACATTGCTACCAACATTGTTTTTTTTTTTTTTTTTCAAGTGAAATCTTTCTTCTTTTTGTTTGTTTGTTTGTATCGAACAAAATAATTCCTTCATCCGTATCGAACATTCGATTGTAATATTAGCTTTCTATTTTCTTTTTTACTTTCATTAATTTCTTCTCTCTCTCTCTCTCTCTCTCTCTCTCTCTCTCTCTCTCTCTCTCTTTTAACGGTTTTAATTTATAATTAATAAAAAAATTAATAAATTTTTTTTTTTTGTTATTCTTTGGCTTCGATTCAAATTTTTTTGTAACAAACAATAAAACGTTTGTTTGTTTGTTTGTTCTTTACTCACAAAAAAAAAGACGAGGACGACAAGCAGACGACGATGAATCAAATTTATATTAAAAAAAAAAAGAAAGAGAGAAAATTGAATGAAAATCTTTTGGGAATTATTTGAAAATTTCTTTGATCCCTATGTTATGTAGTACGGGGTGACCCTTCGACTGGATAGTAGAGATATCCTAAGTATATATCAACGGTTGTTTTGGAAACAAACGATAACTCACTCGCTCACTGTTTGTTTCATTGTTTGTTGTTTGAAAAACTAAAATTTATTTAAAACCTTTTTAAAATAATAAACTCGACGAATAAGGTTTTTTCACTTTTCCTTTTCCCTTTTTTTCTTTACAATTTTATTATTATTATTATCTGTTCGTGATTCTAAATAAATAAAAAAATTATTTGACGCCTATGTAATTTTTCCAACGTGACGTCAGTTTTTTTTTTTTTTTTGCTGACAAACAACACTTAACAAAGTGATAAAGAGAGAGAGAGAGAGAAAAATTCAACAAAAGAATTCAAGAGTCAGAATCGTTTCATCTATTTTGGGAGGAGATTTAAGACGAAACAGGAAACGGAAGTTACCCTAGCTTAACGTACTATGTTTTCGACTCTCTCTCCCTTCACTTCCGGTTTAGCCATTACTTATAGTTTTTTTTTTTTTTTCCATCGAATACTCAAATCCAAACGATTATTATCATTATCATTTCGCGTTGTTTTGATGAGTTTTTTATTATTTTTATCAGATGATAACAGAGAACAACAACAGCTCAACGGTCATCCGGATGAAGAAATAAAAAGACAAAGAACTCAATATAACGGTGATCAATTATATTCGAACGTGAGTCTTCCATTGATTTTTTTCTTGAAAAAAAAAAAAACGTTCGAACGAATCCGCCATTTTGAAAATTTTTTTTATATTTTAGCTTTGGCCGAGTAAGTGGAGTATAAAAGAAGAACATAAACTTCTTTCCGAACTGAATAGCGGCGGAGGTGGAGGTGGCGGTGGTGGCGGCGGCGGCGGCGGAGGTGGTGGCGGTGGAGGAAACGGAAACAGTCCTTATTACGATGGCCAAAGTTTTCCGTCATCAACGACGGCGACTGATATTTACGATACTATGCAACAGACTGGTCCTGTATATACTCCTCCGATACCTTCTTCATTAGGTATGGATAATAATTCCAATCGTTTGCTATTATTTTTGTCGCCATTTTGTTTTTTTTTTCTTTGTGTCATTTCCGCTTTTGATTATTGCGTGCGCATATTTTTTCGTGATTTGAGTTGTTTTTTTCTTTTTTTTTGTTGTTAATTTTGTTAATTTTGCATGAAGGTGGGTCATTAACTCCGTTGGCGCCGATAACGATGCAAGAAATAAAATTGGATCCATCAATATCGCCTTATAATCAAGGTACGGTTTTAAACATTTATTATAATTATTAATATTAAATCCGCCATGTTTGTTTTTTTTTCCGCATTTGTACATTACTTAATTAGTAGATATAGTTTGCTAGTGATATGTTTGACCATGTTTTTATATAGAAAATAACGGAGGGTATGGAACTCCCGTCGAAGCAGCGGATCCGCCACATACCGGTAATTCACCCGATCCGGGATTAACGACACTGCAACCTGGAAACGCACCTCCTTACACAATGTTACCAACATTTACGCATTACGCAACACCAGGTAAGATATTTTGTCCGATGCGAGAAAATTATTTCCTACCGCGACAAATTTCCCTCGTAAATTTTCCCTCGCGTCCGAGAGGGGCAAAAAAGAAAAAAAATTATTAATTTTTATTATTATTATTATTTTTATTTTCCCAGCAGGAAGCGGAGGTGTTAGCGATTACGGATACAGCGGAGCTTATTCTCAATACACAACTTCTCCCTATTCGACTTATTCGTATCCTACGGGCTCAACAGGACTTCTCAGTAAGTAATCAGTGAGTACGTTAAATATAAATAAAAAAAAACGTAGGACGACGACGCTACGCTAAGGGGTTTATTTAAAACAGGAAACGGAAACAAAAAATTTTTTTGTACTTACATTGATTTTCGTCCGGTGATTTGACAAATACCTGAAAATAATAATAATAATAATGAATTAACGATTGTTTTTTAATTTAAATATTAAGGTTCTCCGTATTACTACATGAACGGATCTCAAGGAAATCAAAATCAAGGAAACATTGATGGTAATTCGGAAGTCATGTCGAGATCGCCACTTGCTGCGACAAGAGCTAATTCAGGTGCCAGCGCATCATCGCCGACAGATAGCGCTTGCCAGGAAAAACCACAATTATCATCCGCGGGTATGTTTATAGGATGACAACAGGATGTGAGCAGGTGAACGACTACGGATTAATTTCATTTAAGATATAAACCAAAATTATAAATAAAATAAGAAAGACAATTAATTATTCATTTCATGCCAAAAAATTAATTATTTGTAATTAAAACGACGAAACAACAAACAAACAACAAACAAACAAACAAACAAAAATTTTCTTTCTTTTTTTTTTTTTGTTAAAAATCTTTTACGATTTTTTATCCCATCGGGGGTGAAATTTTATAAAGATCTCAAAATTAATTTTATCATTATTATTATTACTTAATTTTTTTTTCCAACTCGAACAACAACAACAACAACAACAACCGTACAACAACCGTACAAACACTTATTCATAGTTTAAATTTATCCAACAACAATCGCGACAACAACCCACGTGTAAACGAAAAAAATATTAATAATGTCATTTTTACGTTTTTCTCATTAATTATTATTAACCGTTAAAAAATAATAATAATAATAATGATAATGATAATAATGATAATGATAATAATGATTGCACCATTTTTAATGGTAAAAAAAAAAAGAAAGAAAAAAAAAAACTTGTAAATAGTGATGATATATATATATATATATATATATATATATATATATATATATATACATACGATTATGTGTGTACACACTCATATATACATAGATTGTAAAAAATCAATAATTAATTATTAATTTATAATTATGTAAAATGATAATAATGATAATGATGATAGTGATGATGATGATGATGATGATGATGCCACAACCCAATATAGTATGAAAAAATTTTAATAGATTGTAATAAATTAAAAAATTTTTTTTTTTTTGTATCATAATCAAAAATAATAATAATTATTATTTATTATTATTGCAATGATAATGATAACGTTTTATATTTTGAATTATTAATAAATAATTAAAAAAAAACCAAAGAAAAACTTGGTGTGATGATGATGATGATGATGAATACATTTTACAATAGTAAAACATTTTATAATCATTCAGACCTTTTTTTTTTTTTTTTTTTAAAAATAAAAGCAGAAGACATTTATAAAAAAAAAAAAGCAGAAGACATTTATTAAAAAAAAAAAATAAAAAAAATAAACTCTAGTCTTTAACATAATAAGTTTATCATCAATATGATAATAATATTAATAATTTTTTTTTCTAAAACATAAAAATAACCAAAGTTAAAATTAATTGAATTTAAATTTGTTAATAATGATAATGATAATGATGATAAAGCCAAAATTATAATTTTGTGTCAAACCTAGTCTTATTATTTGAATCATAAATCAATAATTTTGTTTTTGATTGATTGAACATTAAGGTCTGAATGATTACATTATATATAGATATGATATGCAATAATAATAATAAAATGGCTCATCTTGGAATAGAATTTGATTTTTTTTTGTTTTCTTTTTTTTTTTTTTTTTTTTACATGCACCACTCTATTGTTTTTGCACAGTCAAAACATAATAAAAATTAAAAAAAAAAAAAAAAATTAAAAAAAATTTGCACATCACACTATATAATTAGCACTGATTTTTTTTTTTTTTTAAATAATGTTCAATATATATATATATATATATATAAATATATATATATATTTTTTTTAAATTAAATAAACGATTGGAAAAAATAAATAAACTAGCATGTTAATTTAATTTTTGTGCAATAAATTAAAAAAGTGAAAAAAAAAAAAAAAAAAATTACATTTATAGTTTTGGATCATTTCTTTTTTCATTTCATCATTTATTTATAATTATCCTTTCTTAATAAAACTATCCCAATAAATATAAATAATAATAATAATAATAATAATGATTTAAATAAGTTTACTCACAACGTTTGTAACGCAAAAAGCATCCCCAAAATTTTTTAATCCTTAATCGCAAATAAAATAACCGCCAATCAACCGCCATTTTATATTTCTTTATTAATAAAAAATAAAATTTCTTTTTTTTTTTTTCGGGGCCTTTTTATGTTGGCAACGCGTTTTTCCCTTAACCGACCGACCGATCGTCTTCTGCCATGTTAATCCTATCGTAAATATTCTTTTGTTTTTAAAGATTTATTATTTTTCCGTGTTCGATTCGTACGGTTATGTTTACGTATTAAAAACGCTCTATTTGTAAATAATTGATTTATTATTATTATTATTAAAAATGTTTACGAAAGAAAAATAAAAAACTGGGGATGAGGGGGAGGGGGGAGAAAAAAAAAAAATTGTTTTAATTTGAAATTGTGTTAATTGTGTTTCTTTTCAAGAAAAAAAATTTTTTGCGTTATCAGTGATTGTATATAAATCCAATTAATCACATTTATTATTATTTATATTGAACGGATTTTATTATGATTTTTTATTAGGTAGTTGTATGTAAACAACGACCTTGAAGCATGATCGTTCATGTTATTATTCAATAGTGTTTTTTTTTTTTTTTTTTTTTTTTTTTTTACAAAAAAAAATAATAAAATTTTTGTTTGTTATGTGATCCTTTTTGTTTTTGATTAATGCCAGTTTATTTTTCATGACGGAAAAAAAAAAAAAAAAGAATTTGAATGTTATTTCAACCTAACTACCTACACCATACGTACTACTCCCACAGGTACAAGTTTTTTTTGTTTATTATTATTATTATTTTTTGTTTAAAATTGTCTTATTTGATTTTTTTTCAACCTGATTTGTGTGTTTTGATGTGTGTGTGTGTGTGTGTGTGTGTGTGCAGGTATGAAATATAAAAACATCTGTTACACTTACTTCAATAATATAATAATCGACAAATGAAAATGCCTATCGGATTTGTCGAAAGACCTCCAAGTCCTGCGACAAATGCTTCAGATAGCAAAAGTGTCGCAGAGTCATTGACTAGCGAGAATTCATTACAAATCAATTCTCCAAGACCGCAAATGGATGTCGCTTGCGTTTTGGATCTTCATCAATCCGAACATTTAAGTCACAGGAAAAAAGCATTGGAAGAATTGAAAATTGCCTGTAATCAAATCAATGCACAATTACATCACATAACAGTTGAGTCAAACAATTGTCAATTATTGTTCATGCAAATCGTTTTAAACGCAAGTTTATTATTATCATTATTATTTTTTCAGTTTGAAAAATTAGATTTCGGTGAAACTAACATGGTGGATACATTTTACAATGCAGATGTGGCTGTTATTGATTTATCAATTCAATTACAGCAAAGCGGTTTGTTTTATCATTTAGGTGTGAGAGAATCGTTTGGAATGAAACAGAATATTGTTATGTTAAACGATCAAAATCCGGAATCAACGCTGAGATTAAAGGTAATCGAACTTGAGAAAAATAATAATGATGATGACAATGATAATAGAATTTTTCTTTCAAATTCTCGATTGTGTGATTTCAGTTATCATGCGACAGTTACATATTTGTCAGCTACAGATTATTAGAAAATAATTTTTGCGTCACGACGAATCCAACGGCGGCAAAATTTCAAACGGACGATGCCGCATTAGACATGAAACAACCGTTAAATGTTAAATTGAAAAAATTATTACAAGACGTTGAAATTCAATCCAAGTAAGGAGAAACGTTTACAATCCGAGTCCTGGAAAACCCCAAAAATTTGATTTAAATAAATTAAGAACAATTTTCTTTTTCTTTTCCAGAGTTCACATGAAAGAAAAATTTCTATCGGATTTACGTAAAGCACGTGAAATATATGCAGGGGCCGAACTATCCAAAGTTTTGCATAATTTAAGAGCGAGATTAGACGATCCGAACATATTAAGCGGTGACGTCGTGTTAAATTTATTAATATCGTTCAGAGAGATACAAGACTACGATGCCATGGTGACTTTGGTAGACGATTTGAAAACTGTTCACACTAAAAAAAGTTACATAAGCACTCCGCTAATACGATATTTATACGCGTTCGCATTAAACAGGTGAGTGAGAGAGAGAGAGAGAGAGAAGGGAAACGGAAAGGAGCCCCTGTGGGAAATTTCGATCCTTTGAATTAAATAAATTTTTTTTTAAAGACGTGATAAACCCGGTGATAAGGAAAGAGCTTTAAACGTTATTGAAGAAGCATTAAAACACAAGGAAAATCATTTTCCCGACATGATTTGTTTATGCGGAAGAATTTACAAAGACAAATTCGTCAAATCCGATTATCAGGATTCTGAAAGTTTAAAAAACGCCATACACTGGTTCGTAACGGTTTTTTTTTTTTTTTTTTTTTTAAATTTTCCTTTTTACCTTCCGTTATCACGTTCGATTTATTTATTTCCTTCAAGGTATCGGAAAGGTTTCGAAGTTCAACCCAACGAATACGCGGGAATCAATTTGGCGACTCTATTAGTCATAGCCGGCGGTGAAATATCGAAATCGTCGGAATTACAACACATAGGTATTTATCGAACGAACGATGTATCGATGTATCGATGTATCGGAAAATAAATTAAATTTCTTACTTCCAGCTTTGGTACTTAATAATTTAATCGGTAAAAAGGGAAGTTTGTCGTCGTTGAAAGACTACTGGGACGTGGCGACATTTTTCGAAATATCCGTTTTGGCCGAGGATTACACGAAAGCGATTCAAGCGGCCGAATGCATGTACAATTTAAAACCCCCCAATTGGTACCTGAAATCGACCATCGGTGAGTTCCATTTCATGACTTTCGGGTTTTCCTTCCCCCCCCCTCTTTCCCCCAACCCTCAATTTTTGTTTTTTCAATTTTTCAGGAAACATATCGTTGATCGATCGGTTCAGAAAGAAAAACGAAGAGTCTGAATCGTCACCGGAAGAACAAATATTTCAATATTGGATGGAATATTTTGTCGAAGCTATCAGTAGCGAAGTCGGAGACATAATTAGGTTTCCGGTGAGTTTTGCGGTCGTCGGTTAGAATTTTATAAGTGCCCCCTCCCCTCCCCGTTAACGTCGGTTATAATCTTTTTTTTTTTTTTTTATAACGCTTTCCGATTTATTTAAAATCTAGTAAGTATTTTCACGTGTCAAAAAAATTTTTTTTTAAATTTTCCAAATGTCGGATCCGTTAAAAAAATTATCGTCATTTTTATATTGTAATTAATATCGAACGCTCAGGTATTGGTGCTCGAACCCAGCAAGGAATTGTTACCGAGTTACGTGAACGTTAATTTGGGGGCCGAAGAAAAATCAATACAATTATGGAATTTGTGTTTGGATCAAATGAAAAACACGTGCAAAAAAGTTCACGATTGGTTATTTCCCGCCAACTCGATCAAAAGCGTGAGGTACGATCACGTAAGAAAAACCCCGAGAATAAACAAAAAAAAAAAAAAAAAAAGTTATCTTAACGAAATTGTTGTTGTTGTTGTTGTTTGACAGTTTATACAAACGAGACGAAAGATGTTTGTTTTTATACGTTCATCACAATTCGGATGATTTTCAAATGTTTTTCCCAAATTCCGAATACCGTCAAAAATTCTACGATCTCATATTGGAAATGACGAGAGACCAAGAAGGAATGGTCACGGATCTCGATTCGGATCTATCTTGTCATCAGATAAAAGTATCATTATTATCATCATTTTAAAACGAGTTTTCTTTTTCCCTCCCCCCTCCCCTTTTAAAAAAAAAAAAATTTTGTTTCAGTACGAATACGATTTGGATGAAAACGGTAAAAGGATCGTTCTCGGAAAGGGAACCTACGGAGTCGTTTTCGCCGCGAGAGATCTCAACACTCAAGTTCGTATCGCCGTAAAAGAAATACCGGAAAAAAATCTCGGGTACGTTTTTAATTGATTTTAATTCGGGGAGAGTTTTTTTTAATAATGCGAGTTTTTTCCCCCCCACCCCCTCCCTCCGTTTAGCGACGTTCAACCCCTTCACGAAGAAATAAAACTTCATTCGCAATTACGTCATAGAAACATAGTACAGTATTTGGGTTCCGTGTCGGAAAATAATTATTTTAAAATATTCATGGAACAAGTTCCCGGAGGTTCTCTGTCCGCGCTTTTAAGGTCGAAATGGGGACCTCTGAAAGGAAACGAGGGAACGATTAGTTTTTACACGAAACAAATGCTCGAAGGTTTAAAATATTTACACGATCAAAAAATCGTACACAGGTAAGAGTAATTTTTTTTTTTTTTTTGGGGGGGGGTTGGGGATACATGACGTCGGAGATCTTGTGACGATTTATTTTCAGGGATATAAAAGGTGATAACGTGTTGGTGAACACGTATTCGGGAGTCGTTAAAATTTCAGATTTCGGAACGTCGAAAAGATTGGCGGGAATATGTCCGAGCACGGAAACGTTCACGGGTACGCTTCAGTACATGGCACCGGAAGTTATCGACAAAGGACAAAGAGGATACGGAGCTCCCGTGAGTTTTCTACGAAAAGAAAAAAAAAAATTTCGAAAACGGGAAAAAAAAAAAAAAAAAAAACGAAAATTTGTCGTATTTTCAGGCCGACATATGGTCTTTGGGTTGCACGATCGTGGAAATGGCAACCGGAAAACCTCCCTTCATCGAATTGGGATCCCCACAAGCGGCCGTTTTCAAAGTCGGATTTTACAAGACTCATCCGGAAATACCCGCGGAATTGAGCGATCGTGCAAAAAATTTTATATTGAGGTGTTTCGTAGCGTCACCCGATGACAGAGCCACGGCCGCCGAACTTTTAGAAGACTGCTTTTTACACGAGTGAGCGATCGAAAGTGAATGCAATTAAAAAAAAAGGAAGCATCAATTTTCCGAAAAAATTTTCATTTTTTTTTTTTTTTCTGTTTGTTATTCACAGGAAAAAAACATCGAGATTGATAACGCCGACTGAATTAAATCGAAGCATTTCCGTTCCCGTGGATAGAATGATTTGTTCGAGAAAGGGAAATAATCAAAAAAACGGATTAAGAACTCATCAATCTCAAGATGAATGGTTGGTACCCCTGTGAATTTTTACCATTTTTTCTTTTTTTTTTTCATAATCATCATTATTATTATTAATCATTATTTCTACTACTACTACTACCGTTTCGTCACACGTTTCAAAAAAAAAAAAAAATTTTCTTTAGCACACCGAATAATTAGAGCGATTTTGGTTAAACTAACATTACGTATAAAAAATAATTATTGGATTTCTGGAATTTTCTGGTGGCAGGTTGAGTCTTGGATTCGCTTTCCCTTTTCATGTTTAAAAAGACAAAAAAGGTTTTGGTTTTTTTTTTTTTTTTTTTTTTTTGTTTTCTTTGTTAATGATTTTTTTTTACATATACAGTTTTTCATGTTTTTATTATTATTATTATTATTATTACAACGAGCCTAACGCATCTTTTATTTTCTGTCATCATTTTTTCATTTATGTAAAAAAACACTAACTTTCGTGTGTTGGCTTTCGTTCAGTTTTGGACTAACTCATACTCATCCTGGAAGCAGTCGCGAGTTACCGAGTTTGAAAACGTATCAACATTCACCGAACACAGATCTCACGTACTCGAGGTAAGGAATGTTTTTTCTTTTATATAAAAAAAAAAAAAAAAAAAAAAAACACTCTTTGGTAACAAAACGCGCGACGGTGACGAACAAAGATAGAAGAAGAAAAAAAAAAAACAAACAAACAAAAACGTTTCGTGATTTTCGTTCCAGCATGATGTCGGCCTCGACGTCGATGGCGGCGGCGGCGGCGACGACAACGACTTCACCCACTCTAGAAACGGATAATTCACTCGAAACAAATTCGACGGTTTCGAGCACGCGAAGATCATCGTCGACCGTGTACACACTCGGAGAAAGTGAATCCCGAAACGGTGGAACTCAAACGGATGCGGAACAAGATGGTTTTTACTTGTTGAAAAAAGACAGTCAGAGAAGGATGACACTGAGTCGGGTGCTAATGCAAGATGAAATGAAAATATGCGACGATTGGATGATGCACATAGATCACGAAATCGGGGATACGAATTTGACTTACGTGAGGGGTCACATAAAACTTTTCCCCGCGTTTTCCGCGAACGAAAATGCTGTTGTAAAAAAGAAGGATTTTTGTTATTTATTTTTTTAGAATCATTTGGAAATGCTTCTTCGGGGATTGAAAGAATACATAGCGGATGGAAATCGTCAAGCGGTCGAAACGATGATAAGAAACATCAAAGAAGAATTGGAATTCGATTGCGAAGCGCTTAACCATCTTCATTTGGCTATTTACCTACTCCAAGATTCGGTACTCAAAGTTTTCTTAACCCCCACCCCCCCGAAGAGGTCGAACGTCACGCTCTGCCATTTTATAATTTTTTCAGATAAATAAAATGTTGAGATCTCACAGCATCAAACCTCATTGGATGTTTGCTCTCGATAATCTAGTCCGTGACGCGGTTCAAGCCGTCGTAACAGTATTATCCCCCGAATTGGGAGCTAATCTCGCGGGAGAAGATTTACAAAAATCGCGGCTCGATGGTAACCTTTTGTTTTCTTCAACGATTCAATTTTTAAAAAATTGCTTTCCACTTCTACCACGCCCCCTCTTTTTCTCAGGTCATTCTTATTTGGGTTCGAGCACGAACATTTCGACGAAAAATTCCGTGGATAGTTACGGGGAAGTGACACCGTCCGTCAAATTACACTTGGATCAAATCTCGATTCTCAAATCGGAAAATTTCAAATTGATGAACGAAGTCATAGAGAGTCAGAAAACGATACACGGTTTGTTGAAACAAGTTTTGGAAGAGAATAAAAATCAAATACAATTTTTAAACAACACTCTCGAACAAATAAACAGCGTCGAAATGTTACGTCACAGGAGAGATACGGGGTAAATGTGCTGGAAAAGTTTCTCACCACCCCTCCCCCCTCGAAATTGTAAAAAAAAAAAAAAAAAATTGGAATTTTTTGTTTCGTACAAGGTACAGTTCTAGAAGTAACATGACAAATCACTCACCGGATTGTTGTTTGGTACCGCAAATCTCGACGACGGAAAACTATAACGATCCGGAATTGTCGAAATGGCTGTCGGAAGTCGTAGGTTTGGAACAAAACGTCGTTGATAAATTTCTAACGGAAGAATACACTCTCGACGATGTGTTGAATCAAATCACGAGAACGGATTTGAAAAGATTAAATTTAAAGGGTGAGTAAAGGCTTTTTATTTTTCCACTCTGTCGTACCTGAAAGAAGAAAAACGACGTTTTAAATTTTTTTTTTTTTACATTCGAATCAGGAGGAACGGAATTGAAAATATGGAGATCGATTTTAGAACACAGATCGTCATCGTCGAATAAGAAAAAAGAAGACAACGAGGATAATGAGGATTGGCATCAATCCCTGGAATACGTCGACGCGATCGATTGTTTTAGTCGACAAGATGTCGACACGTAATTTTTTTTTTTTTTTTTAAAAAAAAAAAAAAAAAGAAATAAAATGTTTATCTTGTGCCGTGCACAAATCTGTTGTAAAAAACTAATCAGTTGTTAATGTTTGTACAAAACTTTGTAGAAATGTATAATTACTACTGCTGCTGCTGCTGCTGCTGCTGCTGCTGCTGTTGCAAATGCTGCTGCAGAGCGGCTCTTTGTACGCGCATCAGAGAAAAAATAAAATAAAATATAAAAATGATTTATAAATTCAAAATTGTTTTTTTTTTTTTTTTTTTTGCACCCCGAATAGCAGACGATTTTTTTTTTTTTAATGAGAATAAAATGGCGTAAAACGCGCGTGACGGTTTCTATGACCTTTTTAAGAAGAAGAAGAAAAATGAAAATGATTTTTTGAGGTCGTTCTTTTTTAACACAACAAAAACTTCATTATAATGATAATAATATTTAATTTATCGCGAAATCAGTCGTTCAACAATGGCGACAACTCAATAGTAATAATATTCAAAAAAAAAAATAAACAGGAAAAGGAACGCGTGACGAAACAAACTCAAATAGTAATAATAAAAAATGGCGACAATTGTCGTAAACACACAAAAGAATAATAATTGAAATACATCATAAAAACTGGGGAGAAAAAGAAAAAGAAGAAAAGAAAACAATTAATAAACAAACAAACGAACGAACGAGTTTAAGTAATAATAAGGTAAAAGACAAAACAAAACAAAATAATAATAATTTGTTTGTTTGTTTGTTTGTTAAACAAAAAAAAAAAAAAAATTTTTTTGAAAATTGTTTTGAAAATCGATCCATCGATCGATGAATCGATGAATCGATGTTCGTTAGTTATTTTAAATCATCGTCACGTTCGCATAATTAAAAAAAATTGAGTTCACGCGCGTGACGTTCAAAGGCGATAAACTCACGGCGTGACATTTAATATGGGTTTGCCATATTTAAATAAACGTCGTCGTCGTCGTTGGTGACGCTTACGTAATTCTCTCATATTCATGCCGCGTAATTTTTTACAAAAAAAAAAAGACGAATTCGTATTTGATTTATTACGTATTTTGGATTGTTTGTTTGTTTGTTTGTTTGTTACGTGAAATTAAAATTTTATTTATATGCACATTATAAATTGTTTTTATATTCCAATTATTAATTTTATAACTTTTCGTTACCTAAAATGGTTTCGAGTTAATTATTATTATTATCGGTGCGACAAACGAAACGTTTGTGATCGATATATTTGCATATCGAATTACAATCGATTAATTTCGATATTCGAAAATAAATCATTCCAAATCTTCTCTTTCCTTTTTTACTTTCCCCTTCCCTCCCCCCCCCTCCCGTCACTTTTACAATTTTTTTGTTGTTTTTTTGCGTGACGTAATAATTATTATTATTATTGTCGCGGATTTTAAATGTTTTGTCCCGTTTTTAAAAATTTGTAAACGGTCGCGATCGGAAAATGTTTGCGTGACAAAAAAAAAATTTTTTTTTTTTCTTTTTTTCCTACCGTTTCTCATATAGAAAAATTAAATGAGTTTTATCATCCGCGTGACGGTTTTTAATTCGTGACGGCGTGACGTTTTTATTAATACGTTTATAAGTTTAACTTTTTAAAAATAATTTGATCACGATTTTATTTTCATCTACATTTTGTCGTCAATTCGTATAAACCTGTTTTTTTTTTTTTTTTTTTTTTAATTCGAAATTATTTCTCAAGTTTTTTTTTTTTTTCGGTTATTTCTATCAAAAAAAATTTTATTTTAATTTCGACCCAAATTTTTCTTTTTTTTTTTTTTAAATGACCTTCGCCATTTTGAAAAACGTTAAATTTTGCAAAAAAATTTTCCGTTGTTTTACTCGAAACGAATTTTAATTTTGTTTGTTTGTTTGTTTTTGGTTTCCCTTCTCCCTCCTCCCCGTTTTAAACGGGGAGATCAAACGACGAAATATTTAAAATCTTATTTATTTATTTATTTATTATGACGTCACGTACGAAAAACTACTACAATGATTTTATGACGTCATTTATCATGTGATAAAATAATCGTTTTGGAATTTTCTTCTTATACAACGAAATTATTTTTAACGGTTGAAAAAATTTCGAAAACTTTCGAAAACCTATTCCCCTCCCCCCTTTTCCTCCTCCCCTCCTACTCCACCACCCGATCAGTAAAAAATTTACGAAACGAAATATTTTGTAATTAATAAAAAAATTTTTTTTTCCAAGGTAAACTTTTCCAGTTGTTTTATGTGCCACCATTTTTTTTTTTGTAACTGAAAACGTCATAATCGAATTATAAAAAAAAGAGAAAAGTTTGTAGGGGTGTGTGCGCGTGTGCAAACACAAATAACAACAACAATTAATTCGCGATTGGTGACACTCATATCGAAGTAATTTTTTTTTTTACTCCTCTCCCCACACAAATACGGTTATTAATAATAATAATAATAATATTAAACGGATTTTAATGTTACGTTAATCGTTTAAAACGACATGATAATAATAATAATAATAATGATACGATAAGAAAAAAAATATTTCAAATCGGATTTAGTAACATGGATAACATTTCTTCCGTCGTTAAATCCTCCTCCCAAATATTAAACCTGACACACACACACACACACACAAACAATAATAATGATTTATTTTTATGAAACACACACGCACGCACGCACGCACGCACACACACACACACTCCTTTAATAACAATTCGTGCTTCTTGTACTTTTTCTTTTTTTTGTTTTCTCTTCTTCCTTAATCTTTATAATCTATATTTATCGTTTTTCTACCTCCCCTTTCCCCTTCTCCCTCCTCTCCTACCTCCTCCTTCTACTTCAGGTTCCGATTCTCTATTTTAAAAAAAATTTCTAGTACCGGTAAAGTGCGTCTTATTATCTTATTGACCATGAAAAAAAAAAAAAAAAAAATTTTTTTTCTTTGAATCGCGAGGGTGCTACGTACGCACGCACCAACGCACTCGTTTTGAAAAACCTTTGAGAAAAGCAAACAATAATAATAATGACGATGATGATAAGCGAATAATGGCGTAAAAATCGTGTGAAAGAGAGTTGAGACATTTTAAGTAGGAACGACGACGAGTATTTGATTGAGGTACCTACCCAACTACCTACCCACCTACCTACCTACCAACCTGTTGAGGAGGAGGTAAAGTTAAAGAATAATTCGTTGATGATAATAAAAAAAAAAAAAAAAAAAAACCAGACGCGGTTGTTGTGGTAGTTGCGAGTTTGCGTTTGTTTAGAATGCATCGAAGAAGAGGTAACAACATCAACAACAACAACCGGACAAACGAAAACGATAATATTATTATTTTTATTTAATAATTGATTGTTTGAATTTTAATTTTTTTCAAAAGTAATTCACGAGTTTGCGAGTATTAATAATAATAATAATAATAATCATACCAATACTATTATTATTATTAATTTAATTAAAATCGGTAAGTTTTTTTTTTTTTTTCTTATGTAATTTAAAAATTCTAAATTAATTTTACGAGTTCATGTAAAAAAAAAAAAATAAATACAACGGATGAACAAACAAACAAACAACAAACGGGAATTTTTTTTTTTTTTTAAGCGAAATTAAAACAAATCGCGTTTGTATATCGATATCATCAACCGAATAAAAGAATCGATTTTTTTAAAAAATTATTTATATTAATTAATTCGGAAATGACGATATTTTTATGACGTCATCAAAATTTAAATAATCGGTAACGGGATTAAAACAATCGTACAATGCGTTTGTACTCTCTTTTTTTTTTTTTTTTTTTTTTTTAATAAAAATGTAAAGTGAGTTTTTTTTTTTTTTTTTAAATACGAGTAATAATTTGATGTAGTGCCAATAGAATTTGGCGAATGATAACAATTTCCGTATTTTGCAACAAATTTTTAATGATAAAAAATTACCCCGTCGGTAATAATAAATTAGTTCGTCCTCAGTTTCTGAGTGACAATTTACAAAAAAAATTATTTTTAATTAATAATTTTTTTTAACGATGTGTGTGCTAAAGTGTTGTTGGTGTGCATCGTAACGAAATTCGCGGGGGGGGGGGGATTATTAAATAGTAATAATAATAATAATAATAATAATGTAATTAATAGTAATAATAATAAATAGTTATGGTAAAAGTTTTTTGAAAATTTTTTATAATTTAAATAATGGCATTTGTGTTAACCTTATACAATAAAATCTATTAATTAATTACGGATCCACTTGCGTCGTGATTATTATTATTATTATTAGTATTATTATTATTATTATTATTGTTATTACCACTTTTTTTTTTTTTTTAAATGCGCGCCATAAAAATTTTTACCTTTTTTTTTTTTTTCAAACATAAACTCCTTATCATTGTAATTTCCTTCCCCTTTCTCTCTCTTTCTATTTGTTTTGTGTTATGTCTCTCTCTCTCTCTCTCTCTCTCTCTCACTCTCTATGTCTCTTTCTGTTTGTGTTATGTCTCTCTCGATCTGTCTCTTTTTCTTTCTCTGTTTTTCTCTATTTCTATGATTGTGTGTGTGTGTGTCTCTCTCTCTCTCTCACTCTAAATCTCTTTCTGTTTTTTGTTAAGTCTCTCTCTCTCTCTCTTTTTGTTTCTTTCTGTTTGTCTCTTCGTCTCTCTCTTTCTCTCTTTCTGTTCGTGTCTTTGTCTCTCTATTTCTATGTTTGCGTGTGTGTGTGTGTGTATGTGTTTCTCTCTCTCTCTCTCTCTTTCTTTTCCCCGTAAAAAAAATTTTTAATAATAAAAATTATAGTTTTTGTTTCTATTTTTTTTTCTTTCAATCCAAATCTAAACCAGATTATTATTATTATTATTTTTTTTTTTTTAAGTTTTCGACGCATTCACGTAATAATAATAATAATAATACAAACAAACAAACAATGTGTAAACGCGTATTATTTAAAAGTGAAATATCAATAACCATAAATTAAAAAAACAATACTTTCTTCTTCTTCTTTTTTCG